ATAGAAAATCATATACCAACTAAATACACATCAAACAAAATAAATAAATGCTGGTTTAATAATAGACTAAAGAAGCTTTGTAAACAGAAGGAAAACCTATATAGAAAATTTAAAGAAACTAAGCAGAAAGAGTTTACAAAAAGTATTTAAAAATTAAACACCTAACCCAAAAAGTAAGCAGACAGCTGCAGAGTGAATACATAAACAATGTAATATCTAAAGATAACAGCAAAAACCTATGGTCATACATTAAGTCTAAGAAAATGGAAACAACAGGCATAGCGCCATTAAAAGATGAACATAACATAATACATAATGATAATGAAACTAAAGCAAACATCCTAAACAAATACTTTGCATCAGCATTCTCAGCCCCAGGACACAAAGACATATTTCTTAATTTGAACCAAGTAGACAACATAGAAGATTTAGTAGTACAAGAAAATGGAATTCAAAAACTATTAGCCAACACCAAACCAAATAAAGCGTCTGGACCTGATGGTATTCCAGCTAGATTACTCAAAGAACTAAGCAATGAGCTAGCCCCAGTGTTCAAAATACTCTTTCAGGCATCGCTTAACCAGGGCAGAGTACCAAAGGACTGGAAAGAAGCTAATGTCACCCCCTATTTAAAAAAGGAGAAAAATCTGACCCAGGAAACTACAGACCAATATCACTTACCAGCATCACATGTAAAATCCTAGAACACATAATATGTAGCAACATCATAAACCACTAAACAAATATAATGTCCTCACCCCATACCAACATGGCTTTAGGAAATATAGATCATGTGAAACACAACTAATAGGACTAATTGATGATTTTTCAAAAGGTTTAGATAATAGTGAACAAATAGATGCTATCTTACTAGATTTTTCCAAGGCAAAGTTCACCACCATAGTTTGCTTAAAAAATTTAAATATTTTTGCATTAATGGTCCACTGCATCAGTGGATTAAAGATTTTCTGATAGGGAGATAACAAACTGTAATAATAAATGGCTCTAAATCAACAACGATAACAGTAAACTCAGGTGTACCTCAAGGAACAGTCTTGGGTCCACTACTATTTTTAATTTACATAAATGATTTACCAAATTGCATTAGTTCAGGAACAAAAGTCAGGTTATTTGCAGACGATTGCATAATATATAGAACAATAAAACCAACACAAGACACAGATATTTTACAAAGAGAATTAGATGAATTACAGAAATGGGAATCAAATTAGAGCATGTCTTTCCACCCAGAAAAATGTCAGTTGTTAAGAGTAACAAAAAAACTAAAACAAATTAATTCCACTTATCTTATTCATGGCAAACCAGTAACACAGACTAAAAACGCAAAATACCTAGGTGTTATAATAAATGAAAAACTGTCATGGAATCCACATATTGATGAAACTATAAAAAAATCCAACAAAGCATAAGGGTTTATTAAAAGAAATTTCTATAAATCAAATAAGAACATAAAACTAAAATGTTATTTAACCTTGGTTAGGCCAATAATAGAATATGCATCCTCCGTTTGGGACCCCTCAACTCAAGAAAATATTAAGAAACTGGAACAGACACAAAATAGAGCAGTGAGATTCATAACAAATGAATATTCACATTTGACTAGAGTAACACCTTTAGTAAAATCACTAAATTTAGAAAGCCTTCAGGACAGAAGACTCAAAAGTAAAGTAGCAATTATACATAAAACACTGAACCATAATCTTCAAATACAAAAACAAAATTTAATAAAATACTCTGAAAGACACAAAGATAAAGGCACATTCCTCGTCCCATATGCTAGGACAAATTTGTACAAATACTCCTTCTTCCCTAGTGCTATTAGAGCATGGAATGGGTTGCCTGAGCTAGCCATGAAAACCAGTGACTTGGCAGAATTTAAGTCATTAGTTAATATGCATGACTAAATGCATGACGCGTAGGACGTAATCATCTTCTTTTTTGAAGTAACGTCTGTATTATATAAGATAAGATAAGATACAACCATTGGCTAACAAGCAAATATCTACAGTACACACAACACACAGTAAGGTCCAGTGGTCAAACTCGTAACTTGGGAAAAAATGGCAACTAAATACACTTTACATGGCCTTAAAGAAACTCCGTCCTGTCTTTACAATTTCTCAAAAATAGTTAACTCATCCTCTTATGACTTGTTTCACTAAAGGGTTTGAGAATTATTATTTTTTATTATTTTTTTTTACCAATCCACAGGAAAAAAACTCAAACAGTGATAGTGATGAATCCTTGTATGTTAACATGGAATTCCAAACTGTGAGTTTTTCACTATTTGTAAACTTTGAAAGTCTTATTTCAAGCTTATTAAAAAGCAACTTTCATATTTTTTTTTTATGACCCAAAAAAAAAAAAAAACTACCCAAAAAAGTGCAAAACCTTTTTAATTTTCTCTGAGTAAAACAAAAAATGTCCCAACAGAGATATGAAACAAAAAAAAACATTCATAGGCAGGTTGAATTCACACCTGGGAAAAGCAGAAGAAGATGTGATTGAAGTAAAACGAGAGAGTCATCTTAATTGAAAGGATATGTCTCCCCCACACAAGGTTAATATAGATTCACGATGAAAAGTAATAGAAAAACAAGCAAATAATTTCAGACATAACCACTTATGATTATGGTCAACCATTTGATTGTATAAATGCTCTATTACTGACACCATTGTGACTATTTGTTTTCTTGCTGTCAATGTTTGCAAACACACACATGCCCTTACATTGTAACTATTACAAGCTAAATTTTGTTTTGTACATCTGAAATGAAGAATTTTACATTTAAATCTAAATCTCTTACAGGATGAAAAGGGAATAGTGAATGTCCAGCTTTGAATTCAGGGACTTCATCACAGCGGATGTTTTGTTTTAAATTAAAATGGCCTCTGCTTTTAATAGTTATCTGAATAATATCTGAAATTTTTTTATTTTTTTTTTACCATTCCACAGCTACTCTAAAATAAAAACATTTAAAAGCAGCCAAAGAAATTAATTAAAGTTTACATTCAAAAATTGAAACGTTTCGTCTGAATAAACAAATAAGCTTCATGATTTTTTAAATTTCCTTTTTAGGATCCTGTTAGATCTATCTCAGTAAGCTATTTTTTTTTTGTTTTTTTCATTTTTTGTGTGTATGTATTTGTATGTTGTCTTCTTTACATCAAAGCTATTGCTTACGATAGTTCAAATTTATACTATGTAACTTTTTTAAAATGCATATTTTATTCGTATTGCTGTTTTCTTATTAGTAGTTAATTTCATATCCCTGTAAAAAATGTAATATTTGAGCTTTTCATCTTTATGCCTGAAATCTGCACTGTTGTAGGTCTGCCACTACACCATTAAGTCATTGTATTCATGCTCTTTTTTTTTGGGCCAGCAAACTATTTTTGCTCTTCTGTTGACATTCTTTCCAGGTGACCCGCCCAGTGTTATTTGTTCTCTCTTTTTTTTTTTATCATTATAGAGATGTTCTTCATATGTTTAAATGGTATATTTTCTCCATCAAGTTTCATTTTGTATAGCACCATACATTTTTCTTTCCCTATTATTTAAGCAAATGTTCTGTTGTTTTTTTTTGTTGTTGTTTTGTGTGTTAGTATCCAGATTTCACTTGCATATGGATGATTTTGCATAAAGCTTTCTTTGTTTTCCTTGATATATTTTTTGCTTTTAACTAAGTGTTGTGTTCAATAAAATCTCTGCTTCCTCTTTCTATTTTGTTTTTTTATTTCTGTCAGTAGGTTATTTTTGGAATTGGTCGTACTTCCTAGATATTTGACCATTTTAATAAAATTGCAGTAACTTTAATACATTTTCTTCTGTCAGATTGTCTCTTTTCACGATGACATACTGGGCATTGTCATCATTTTTTCAAGTGAGTAGTTTCTTCTATTTATGACTGCTCTAGCACTGTCAGCCGTATCTGTACCCAATAAGGCTATTCCATCGAAATATGCAATATATTGTAGATGTTGGCCATTGTAGATGTTGGCCATATGTTATTCCTGTTGGTTGTAGATCTCTTTTAAATTAATTAGTAATTGTTCCCCTTATGTTTCTGTGTACATTCCTTATGCTGCTCCCTAGTGTCAAATTGAAACAAATGTATTAAAGCGAGTTTCCTTGTTTAATCCTAAATCCCTATGATTGTTCCCCCTGTATTATGACCTATATTTTTTATTTGTTTAATGTAATATGCACAAATCTTGTCAGTTTGTTAAGTATTCCAAAATCATATAAACATCATAGAGATAATTCCTTTTGATATCATCATAAACCATTTTTTTTAGCCTCCATAGAGTTGGTGTACTGGTAATTGTATATTCCTAACATTTTTGTAGGATACACATTAGTGAAAATATGATAGGTTGTTGATCTCATGGGTTTGAAACTTCATTGGTTGTCACCTAATATTTCTTTTGAGTATTTTCAAAGTCATTTAGTAGTAAGGATCTTAAATGATATGTTTAAGAGAGAGATTTCTCTGTATTTACATCACTTTAGTTGGGATCCTTTTTTACTAAACTTCTGCCTGGTAAAAATTTTGTTCATGTTCTTTCTTCCACTTCCTATATTCTGATCAATTTTAAATATGGCTGAGTTATTGATTGTTGATAATGAATCAATAAAAAAAATTAACCAGTTATTTAATCAATTAGTGGTAATTAATTAATTTGTTTTTTTATAGGAAAAAAAAAGTTAACCCTTTCTCTCTGAACTGACGATAACGTTGATTCCACCAGAATGTGGTAAATAATTACGGAGAGAAAGAGTTAACCCTGCAGGGATTTTTGTGGCTCTTCCCATTAGATAAAACTTTGTGGGCTTTTTTTTAAAAAGGATTTTATTAGGTATTGGAGTTATATCTGTGGGAGTGCAGGCTTGATCTCTTGCAAATCTAAAATACCTATTTCCAGTCATTTTTCATCCATACCTGTCCAGTTTTTCATGTTTTAACTTGTGTCATTAGCTGTGTGCACAATCAGCTTGGGTGCCCCTTTAAGTTGTCTAGATAGATGCCTTTACTTTCGAATAAGGTGCTCTAGCCTTTGTTTTTTATGTTTAAACTTTCGTATCAATATTTTTTTAGATATTGGAGTTGTTAGCTGTGTGCACAATCAGCTGGGGTGCCCTTTACAGATTTTCTGGTTAGCTGCCTTTACTTTCGAATAAGGTGCTCTAGCTTTTGTGGATCACCTCAAATTATGCAAGGCAGCAGGTTTGATTTTCGTCCAGCCTGAGTATTTTATTTCTCTGATACTAAACGCATCTAAGAGCAGTCCCTTATTAGCCACATGGTCAGGTCTTGAGAGGGATTAAGAAACTTTTCGTGAGAAGCTTGATTTTATACTATACTATTAGTGGCCATTCTACTTCTGCCGATGATAAAGTTTGGTATTATTGCCCTTAGAAGGCCTGTTTGCTAATTTATTTACCTAAATGAATGGAATTACAACAATGAGATATATGTTATAAACATTTGAAAGGCGTTTTTTGTTTTTAATTTATTAATGCAAACAAATCTTTGTGAAAACAATTACCAGTTTGCTACAAACATTGAAAGGGTAGTATTTATTTATTTTTAAGTCAGGAAACTTTGCATTAAAACAATTATGTTATAAACATGCACTTTTAAAATTATGTAACCAAGATAACTGGACAGTTATTTCGTAAGGACACTGGTGAGTTGCAGTTGTGGACACGTTTATGGAATGTTACTTTCAATTTGCAGTACCAAACTCTATTTACCTAAAGGAACGATAGTGTTATGGTTTGTACCTGCAGAATTAGAATGGACATTAAATGTGACATATATAAAACAGAGCTACAATAGAATACTGGTAAAGAAATGATAACGGTTAACCCATAGCTTTTACATTGCAAACATGTGGTGATGGGCAGAGACCAATTTGTGGTCATTAAAATGTAAACTTCCCAGTGTGCTTTCTTGCTTTTTTTTTATTTTGTGGAGTTCTTTGTACTTCAAAATGTAAAAATAGCAGCAGTCAGCTGTTTAGAAATCTGCAATAACAGTCAAACACCACCATCATGCACTTTATTGACAATACATTCATTTGTTCTATTTGCTTTCAGAGATAATATAGTTGTATCCACACAATTTTCACCATAGTAATTGATACACTGCATATTTTGGGATGAAATGCACATTTTCAGAGTACATGTAATTGGTGATGATAAATTGATATTACGGAAACAATTATATCATAGGCTTAATTTTTATCATTCAATACAAACTAATCAAACTATTTACAAATTTAATTTTTTTTTAACAGACAACTTGAAAATTTGAACTTGATGGGAAGCGTGGTCGAGAGGCTAAGTGCGCTTGAACTTGGCTTGGCCTAGAAGGGGGCTCGAGGTTCGACACCCGACTCGGGCAGAGTTGTGTTTACTGAGCGCCTAAAGGCAGCACGGAAAACCAACTCCTAGATACCCCACCCCCACTGGTCCACAAATGAGATTGGACCCAAAGCGCTCTGAGCATGCTATAAGAAATGAAAGTAGCGCTAAAAAAAAAAAACTATAAAGTATTATTTTTGGTAAATAATTTGAAAAATAAAAATAGACGTAGTGGCAAAAAAAATGTGTGCAATAAACTATAAAAATAAAAATGGAAACGTCAAAAACACATAGAAACAACTAGAAACTGTTTAATGAAAGAAATGGCAATACAGCACAAAATACACAAAAGAAGAGAATTCGTAAATTACATAAATATTTAATGGTCTTAATAAATAAAGATAAAACATACAACTCAGTTCCAGTTAAATATTTAATGGTCTTAATAAATAAAGATAAAACATACAACTCAGTTCCAGTTAAATATTTAATGGTCTTAATAAATAAAGATAAAACATACAACTCAGTTCCAGTTAAATATTTAATGGTCTTAATAAATAAAGATAAAACATACAACTCAGTTCCAGTTAAATATTTAATGGTCTTAATAAATAAAGATAAAACATACAACTCAGTTCCAGTTAAATATTTAATGGTCTTAATAAATAAAGATAAAACATACAACTCAGTTCCAGTTAAATATTTAATGGTCTTAATAAATAAAGATAAAACATACAACTCAGTTCCAGTTAAATATTAAAAAAAAAAAATAAGTCTTGGGATTGAAACTCGTGAACTATGTTAGGTAGGGTTCTGCCCAACTTTTGTGCACATTCATGGGTGTAACTGGAAAGGGAGGTTTATCTTCTTCTTATCTTATATAATACAGACGTTACTTCAAAAAAGAAGATGATTACGTCCTACGCGTCATGCATTTAGTCATGCATATTAACCAATGACTTAAATTCTGCCAAGTCACTGGTTTTTCTGGCTAGCTCAGGCAACCCATTCCATGCTCTAATAGCACTAGGGAAGAAGGAGTATTTGTACAAATTTGTCCTAGCATATGGGACGAGGAATGTGCCTTTATTTTTGTGTCTTTCAGAGTATTTTATTAAATTTTGTTTTTGTATTTGAAGATTATGGTTCAGTGTTTTATGTATAATTGCTACTTTACTTTTGAGTCTTCTGTCCTGAAGGCTTTCTAAATTTAGTGATTTTACTAATGGTGTTACCCTAGTCAAATGTGAATATTCGTTTGTTATGAATCTCACTGCTCTATTTTGTGTTTGTTCCAGTTTCTTAATGTTTTCTTGAGTTGAGGGGTCCCACACGGTGGATGCATATTCTATTATTGGCCTAACCAAGGTTAAATAACATTTTAGTTTTATGTTCTTATTTGATTTATAGAAATTTCTTTTAATAAACCCTAATGCTTTGTTGGATTTTTTTATAGTTTCATCAATATGTGGATTCCATGACAGTTTTTCATTTATTATAACACCTAGGTATTTTGAGTTTTTAGTCTGTGTTACTGGTTTGCCATGAATAAGATAAGTGGAATTAATTTGTTTTAGTTTTTTTGTTACTCTTAACAACTGACATTTTTCTGGGTGGAAAGACATGCTCCAATTTGATTCCCATTTCTGTAATTCATCTAATTCTCTTTGTAAAATATCTGTGTCTTGTTTTGTTTTTATTGTTCTATATATTATGCAATCGTCTGCAAATAATCTGACTTTTGTTCCTGAACTAATGCAATTTGGTAAATCATTTATGTAAATTAAAAATAGTAGTGGACCCAAAACTGTTCCTTGAGGTACACCTGAGTTTACTGTTATTGGTGTTGATTTAGAGCCATTTATTATTACAGTTTGTTCTCTCCCTATCAGAAAATCTTTAATCCACTGATGCAGTGGACCGTTAATGCCGAAATATTTTAATTTTTTAAGCAAACTATGGTGGTGAACTTTGTCAAAAGCCTTGGAAAAATCTAGTAAGATAGCATCTATTTGTTCACTATTATCTAAACCTTTTGAAAAATCATCAATTAGTCCTATTAGTTGTGTTTCACATGATCTATATTTCCTAAAGCCATGTTGGTATGGGGTGAGGGTTCAATATGATGATTCGTGTTTAGGGTTTCTTTTCTGTGAATGACATTGCGATTGTAATTAATTATGTAGATCTAGATGAGATTGAATTTGTTTCACTCAGTAAGGTAAACCACATTTATACTACATGCATTTATATTGCAGAATTGAAGTCCAATATTAATCACCCATTTTTGTAATATCTTTAAAAGGTGTTGCAATTTCAATGATTCAGCAATTTTCTTATAACGTTTAAAATGTTATTTTATTTTCAACATTTTCTGGTAGAGAAGTTATTGGAATGAAACAAGCAATTTAATTTTTTTAAAAAAGCTACCGAAACAAAAAAAATTTACATTTGATGTTTAATGGAAACAACCTTTCTAAATTATATGTTTAACAATTTAGAAGCATTTTGGAATAATTAGCACATGCATAATATTTGATACAAAGTAAACCAATCATTTATTTTCCACAATAGAGATTTTTAAAAGACACCTATGGTCTTTGGCCTACTCTTCACAAACTCAAAAACATACAAAATATACATATTTTAAAAACAAAAATTGCATATTAAATAATTGTAACTTTTTTTTTAAAAAGTAGCCTATAATAAAAATGTAAAAGTACTTTTTATTTCCTTCTAAAAATATGGCTTACTATTAGATATCAGTATGTTTATTGATAAGGGTTGAAAAGTGCATTTTTTTTTTAAAGCTTTCAAAAAAGTGGAGGGGCCCTAACATACATAAATCCAGCCGTGGTCATAATAATAAGAAAGATAGACAAAATGAAATTTAATTAAACGTAAAATTTATTTACGAAGCGGATAATGTAAGTTGTAACTACCCCAACCGACTCGATCGATCTATTCTAGTAGTAGATCTATTATTAGTATACATTTGTTATAGCTATTTATGCTAAAAATAAGAAAACACAATGTAATGCAACAAAAAAACGACAAAGACAAATATTGTAGAGAAAGTATGTGCAGAACTGTCACGCGATGAGCAATAGTTACAACACATCAATGGCTGTGTCTGACAGATACTTGGCCTAGTACACAGCTCTGGACTTAAGTCTGGCTCTCCTAGTACACACTCTGTTCAAAGTAAAAAAAAAATGTACACATTAGCCTCGGCTACTGGCTACTCTGTACTTTTGTTTGTATTGCAATCGCCCCCCTCCCCACCGAATCGGCCAAAATACCAGAAGGGGAGCGACATTGTATAAAATTTATATATTGATTCAACTAATTTTGTTCACAAAGTATGATTTCTCCATAAAAGTACGACCGCCCACCCCCCCCCCCCCCCCCCCACTCAAAGGGTTTAGGTTGGAAGGGCAATAAAGGGTATTTGCCCCCCCCCCCCCCCCCAATCGGCCAACAGGGGAACGAAATAATATAAAGATCGGTTAAAATACCAATAACAAGTTTTTATCATATAGATATTTAAGATTCTGTTTGCAAGCTGTGATTTCTACATATAAATTGAACCGCCCCCCTCACTCGAAAGTTTATGGGAGGGTGGGATTGATGTCATCGCCCCTCCCACCATTTGTCGTGTGAACCAATTACCTTTAAACCAATAGTCTGTGAACCATTTGTCAAGCAAGTCATTTGTAATAATACAATTGTCAGTGAATCATTTGTCGTGAAAGCTATTTGTAATGATACAATTATCAGTGAACCATTTGTCGTGCAAGCCATTTATAATGATAATATTATCAGTGAACCATTTGTCGTGCAAGCCATTTGTAATGATAATATTGTCTGTGAACCATTTGATGTGCAAGCCAATGTAATGATACAATTGTCAGTGAACCATTTGTTGTGCAAGCCATTTGTAATGATACAAGTGTCAGTGAACTATTGGTCGTGAAAGCCATTTGTAATGATACAATTATCAGTAAACATTTGTCGTACAAGCCAATGTAATGATAATATTGTCTGTGAACCATTTGATGTGCAAGCTATTTGTAATGGTACAATTATCAGTGAACCATTTGTCGTGCAAGCCACTTGTAATGATAATATTATCTGTGAACCATTTGTCGTACAAGCCAATGTAATGATACAGTTGTCAGTGAACCTTTTGTTGTGCAAGCCATTTGTAATGATACAAGTGTCAGTGAACTATTGGTCGTGAAAGCCATTTGTAATGATACAATTATCAGTAAACATTTGTCGTACAAGCCAATGTAATGATAATATTGTCTGTGAACCATTTGATGTGCAAGCTATTTGTAATGGTACAATTATCAGTGAACCATTTGTCGTGCAAGCCACTTGTAATGATAATATTATCTGTGAACCATTTGTCGTACAAGCCAATGTAATGATACAGTTGTCAGTGAACCTTTTGTTGTGCAAGCCAATGTAATAATACAAGTGTCAGTGAACTATTGGTCCTGAAAGCCATTTGTAATGATACAATTATCAGTGAACCATTTGTCGTGCAAGCCATTTGCAATGATACGAGTG